GGGTCTGGTGAACGTCGCCGCCAGGGTCATGAGTTGTAGGCTCAAGGCCGTCAGGCGGCTGCTGTACGACTGGGAGGAGCTACCCTGGAAGTCGCTGGCCCTTGCCCTGCTGAGGAATGCAGGGGGTGCCTGGGGTACGGAAAGGAGCTCTTCCTGATGGACTTGAGCCTGGTCGACTACACGAGGCTGCCAGGTTATCACCAGAGTCTCAGACACAACATGGAGAGACCATTTCTCTCCCCTCATTGCGGCCGCCCCCCAGTGGAAACAAATGTACAAGTCTCCCGTAGCCAAACGCTGCGGTAACCTCCAGTGGAGATTGGCACACTGCATGGTGCTATCGGCCGTGTGACTCAACCGAATCTCGCCGGGGGTAACAGACTTGTGCATTTACTGCGGTGCCAGGGAGGATCTCCCCACCAGTACTTACGCTGCCAGCGCCTCAAACCGATGTTCCGCCTTTTGGAGGACATTTTCAGGAAACTGGGGGTGCCCTTCTACAACAGCAGCTTCGTATATGGGGTGTGGTGCCTTACCTGGCTAACAAGCGCCATGACCTCGCCAACTTCGCCTGTGCTCTGGCGAAGATGGCGGTGTACAGGACGAGAAAGAAGATGCTGGAAGGTGACACTGACGGCTGCTCTGTGCTTCCAGTGTTCAGGGGCCTGCTCAAGGCGCGACTCCGGCTGGAGCATGCATACCACACACATGTCGGTGATGTGCATGTCTTCTTGAACGATGGGGGGCTGGAAAAGGCCCTCTCTGTACCAGCGTGGATGGCACCGTCGTGTTCACCTTCTGAAACGCTCGCTCGTCGTCATGGCGCTCGCGATGACCACCATCACCACGTGACTTTAATTTTGTGTTGTGCGCGGCGCATCTAGCGCCACAGCGCGTGGATTTATGGTGTTTGCTATTTGTTTGCTGGTGACTGTATTTCGTTTCGGAATTGCCTCCAGTGCTGTTGCTGCTGGCGGCAATAAAAGTTGTTTAAAAGTCTCTATGCTATGGGTCCGAGTTCACAGCAGCAGAAGCAGCACGGGCTGAGTAGATCTATCTCATCAGCTACAATACACGCTGTTAACCCGTGTGCATGTATGGGTATGTTGGTCATAACATAATCAGTGTGATTAGTCGAGTGGCATTGTATTTTCATCCGCTGCGTAACGATGTGTGGAACCTACTTGGTCTGTCATTCCATACGATGCTTCGGATCTTCTTGGCAACAGTGATGCCCTACCTTCTCTCTGCTTGCGAAACGTGGGACCCTTTAAACGAACATATGCGCCGGTGTGAAACATTTAGGCCAGATTGCCTACGATTTATCTTGGGCTTAACCACACTGAATTGTATGCGGAGCCAGATTCTTGAAGGATCTGGACACAGTCCAATCAGTGATCTCCTCCGGCAGGCGAGGCTGCGTTGACTGGGTCATGTAGCCCGCATGCCTAGGTAACGCATGCCCAAACAGCTGATGCGGTACAAGAGGATGTGGAGCTGAGTTGACATGCCTATGACTGGCATCAGCGGTGTCAAGATCGGCCTCTGTGGAGGAGGCTCGTGAAGAACGCTGCTGGGCAGTTGGAGGCAGTCGCCCTCCAACAACAACGGTGGGCCGAAGAGCGACGCTCACAACAACGAGTGGAACACCGGGCGGATAAAACACAGCAGTAGGGAGTATAGGTGGTGGACCTGCCAGTCATCTCAGTCAATCAACCAATGGCACCTGGGTCTGTCCCATGACCTCCTGTCAGCGAGCTTTCGGAAGTTCAAGTGGCCACAAGGTACACCGAGCCTGGCACAAGCGCCGTGGCGACGTCACCACCGCTGAGTGGTGAATGGCGGTGGTTGTTGTTGTGTCTGAGGTTGGGGAGCGGTGATGCGTCTGCTGCTGCTGTTACGCATGCTGATGCTGAGATCATCATTGTCTTGACAATGACGTGCCCATGACGTGTCGATGATGTGTCGATGGTAAAGATGAAACGATGAGGATCGTGCATCGATGATGCCGTTGACGTTGTGATGAAACACCTCGTGTCACCTGTATCGAACAAACATCAACACGTGGAACAATCACCCTGCTCATCACTCAGCAGCAGCATCAACATCGCTCCCCACTGCGGACAGCTGGCAGGACCCTCCTCATTACGAGTCTTGAGACTCAGCGAGGCTTCACTGGGCACACAACGATGATAATTCTGCAACCGATGATGCTGAACCCCGCGGTAAACATCTTTCCCCGTTTCTCTTTCCAACCCTCTCACCCTCCCTCCCTCTCCCCCGTCTCCCCCCGCTCCCTACCTCTCCCCCGTCTCCCCACTCTCTCCCCCCCCTCTCACCCTCCCTCCCTCTCCCCCGTCTCCCCCGCCTCTCACCCTCCCTTTCTCTCCCCCCTCCCTCTCCCCCGTCTCCCCACTCTCTCCCCCCCCTCTCACCCTCCCTTTCTCTCCCCCGTCTCCCCACTCTCTCCCTCGTCTCCCCACTCTCATCCTCCCTCCCTCTCCCCCGTCTCCCCACTCTCTCCCCTGTCTCCCCCCCCCCTCTCACCCTCCCTCCGTCCCTCTCCCCCATCTCCCCCCCTCCCTCCCTCTCCCCCGTCTCTCCACTCTCATCCTCCGTCCCACTCTCTCCCCCGTCTCCCCACTCTCTCCCGCTTCTCCCCCCCCTCCCTCCCACTCTCCCCCCCGTCTCCCCACTCTCCCTCCCACTCTCTCCCCCGTCTCCCCCCCTCCCTCCCTCTCCCCCATCCTCCCACTCTCTCCCTCGTCTCCCCACTCTCTCGCGCTCCCCGCCTCTCTCCGCGTCTCGCCGGGCTCCGATCGATGCGCGTGCTCTGTTCTATCAGTGGGGGGGGCGGGGGAGTGGGTGGGGTGGGGCTGGGGGTAGAAAAGTGGGGGAGGGGGCGGGGGGATTCTCATCGATTATTTATCGATTCCGTTCGGGAAGGGGGGTGGAGGGGGGGATTATGGGTTCGTGAAGGTTTGATTGTGGGGGGCCGTGAGGTATTGACTTTGACAGTCCAGGTTGTGTTGTTGCTGGGAGGGTGCGGGGTGGTGATTGTGGCGGTTGGGGGGGGGCAATGAGTGGGTGGAAGTTGTGGGAGAGGGGGGGGGTGTGGTTGTTGTGGGGGGCTGGCAAGTGGGGGGCGTCGGTGGTGGAGATTGTTGTGATTGTTCGGGGGTGTGGGGAATTGAGTTTATTTGGAGTGAAATGGGGGGGCGGGGGGGGGGGTGCGATGGGCTGAGGGGCGGGGGAGGGTGCCCACCCCTCAGCCAATCACGAGGCACCCTGCCGCTCTGTCTCCGCGGGGGGGAGGGGGAAAGAGGGAGGGGGCGACTCTCACAGCCCGCTCGGCGCTGCCCGTGCGCGTGTCCCTCTCACTCACTCTCACGCACAATCACACTCGCTCACACACTCTCACTCTTACACACTCTCACTCGCTCACTCACACACTCTCACTCACTCACACACTCTCACTCTCACACACTCACTCTCACTCGCTCACTCACACACTCTCACTCACTCACACACTCTCACTCTCACGCACAATCACACTCTCACTCACACACTCTCACTCGCTCACTCACACACTCTCACTCGCTCACTCACACACTCTCACTCACTCACACACTCTCACTCACTCTCACGCACAATCACACTCTCACTCACACACTCACTCACTCGCTCACTCACACACTCTCACTCGCTCACTCACACACTCTCACTCACTCACACACTCTCACTCACTCTCACGCACAATCACACTCTCACTCACACACTCACTCACTCGCTCACTCACACACTCTTACTTGCACACTCTCACTCACACACTCTCACTCACTCACTCTCACACACTCTCACTCACACACTCTCACTCACTCTCACTCACACACTCTCACTCGCTCACTCCCACGCACTCGCTCTCACACACTCACTCACTCACTCTCACACACTCACTCACTCTCACACACTCTCTCACTCACTCTAACACACTCAATCACACTCTCCCTCTCTCACGCACTCACACTCACACACTCCACACTCTCTCACGCAATCACACACTCTCACACACTCTCTATCTCACGCACTCTCACGCACTCCCACTCACACTCTCTCACGCTCTCTCACTGTCTCTGTCACGCGTGGCGAGTCCCGGCCACGCTCGAGGCGGCTGCTGCTGCTGGTCGCGCGGCGCGTAGGGGGCTGTGGGGTCCGCACTGTGTTTGGGTGGAAGGGGGGTGAGGTGGGGGGGGGCAACGCGAGACTCCGCGGGGGCTCCCAAGGCGAGGGGCTCGGGACCGTCTCTGTCTCTCTCTCATCAAGATCCCTCACGGCGGACTCGGCTCTCCTGGCGACTGCGACTCTGAGACTCGCACCGTCTGTCTGCATCACCGTCTGCGTCACGACCAGGACCCCCTCATCGTGTCCCGCCGAGACTCCGTCGAGAGCCCCTCCAGCCGGTGCTCTTCGGCCCGTCCACCAGGGACCCCCCCCCCCCGCCTCCGCCGGGCGGAGCTCGCCCACTCCGCGTCCCACTCAGAGACTCTCCAAGCGGCACCCTCCCAAGAGGTCGACTTCCCGCAGGGAGTCTCACGCATCGTCCCTCCGCACCCCTATCATCATCATCGTCGTCATCATCATCATCGTCGTCATCATCATCGTCATCATCATCGTCGTCGTCATCATCATCGTCATCATCATCGTCGTCGTCATCATCATCGTCGTCGTCATCATCATCGTCATCATCATCGTCGTCGTCATCATCATCGTCGTCGCTGGAGTGCAGTCGTCAATGGAGTGGCTTTAAGGAGGCGACGCCTCGAGGGGACAGTGGGGGGGGTGGTGCTGGTCCCATTCGCCAGAGGGACCTTGGGTCGCCTGCAAAACCCTCCATCTCTCCCGACCATCTCTCATCTGCACCCCCTCCACCCATCCCCTCATCCCCCCCCGCGCGCCTCCCCCTATCCCCCCCCCTGGACCCCCCCCCCGTCCCCACCGCGATGGGTCCGCCCCGCTCGGCTCGCCTCTTGTGGCTCTCGCTGGCGGCGGCCGCCGTCTGCGCGTCGCTCCTCCCGCGCGGCGCCGTCGCGTGCGGCCCGGGCCGCTCGCTCGGCGGCCGCCGCCGTCCGGCGCGTCGCCTCTCGCCGCTGTCGCTGCGCCAGTTCGTGCCGCGCGCGCCCGAGGGGGCGCGGGGCGCCAGCGGCGGCGGGGCGGGGCGCGTGGCGCGCGGCTCGGAGCGGTTCCGCGCCGAGCTGAGTCCCAACTACAACCCCGACGTGGAGTTCAAGGACGAGGAGGGCACCGGAGCCGACCGCCTCATGACGCAGGTGAGGAGGAGGTGGAGGAGGAGGAGGTGGAGGAGGAGGTGGAGGAGGAAGTGGAGGAGGTGGATAGAGGAGGGTGGGCTGGGACCGGCACGCGCACCGTTCGGCGGTGATGCACAACTCGCTGCTCACCCCACTACTCACTACGACACTCACCCTGGCTACTCACCCCACTACTCACCCTGGCTACTCATCTCGCTACTCACCCCGCTACTCACCAACATCGTCAACCCGCGACTCACCACGATACTCACGATGGTAAATCACTTTGGCAACTCACCTCGCTACTCACCAACCACAACACGCCGATACACATCCCGCTACTCTCACTCAAACACTCTCACCCAGAACCTCACCCAAACACTGACGCAGACTATCACCCACACACTCACCAATACGCTCACCCAGACCCTCACCCAGACATTCAGCCAGGTGCTTACCAATATTCTCACAAGGACCCTCACCCAGACACTCTACCAAACTTTCACCCAGACTCTCACCCAGACACTAACCCCGACTCTCACCATGACCCACACCCATACGGCCATACTCTCATCCAGACCCTCTCACCCAGACTCTGACCCTTACTGTCTCATCCAGGATCTCACCCAACACAGGACCAGACTCTCACCAAAACTCTCACCCAGAATTTCACCCAGATCCTCTCCCAGACCCTCACCGAGACACTCACCCAGATCCTCACCCGGAATTTCACCCAGATGCTCACCAATACGCTCACCCAGACTCTCATCCAGATGCTCACCTAGACGCTCACCCAGAATCTCACCCAGACACTCACGCAGAAACCGACCCAGACTTGCACCCAGACTCTAACCTAGACACTCACCCAGATTATATTCCAGACTCTCACCCAGACGTCCACCCAGACTCTCACCCAGATATTCAACCAGGCACTCACCCAGACACTCATCCAGAGACTCACCCAACAACTCTCCCCCAGACACTCACCAAGACCCTCTCCAAGACTCTCACTAAGACTCTCACCCAGACTTTCACGCAGCCACTCACCCAGAATCTCACCCCGACTCTCACGAGGACTTTCACCCAAACTTTCACCCAGACTATTACCCAGAGTGTCACCCAGACACTCACCCCGACCCTCTCACCCAGACACTCACCCAGACACTCACCCAGACACTCACCCACACACTCACCCAGACACTCACCCAGACTCCCTGACCCAGACTCTCACTCAGACTCTCACCCAGACACTCACCCAGACACCCACCCAGACTTTCACCCCGACTCTGATCTCCGATTAGCACGAGGACTCTCACCCATAATCTCACCCAGACGTTCAGTCAATTCTTGTCATCTTCATTGATCACATACCCATGCCTACATGAGCTACATGGCAGTGAGATAATTTGTTCCCGTCTTGCTCTCTCTCAGCTTGTGTAAATTGGCAACAACAATGTTAACAGCAGCAACAATATTAAAAAATATATTAAAACAACTATTTAAAGTATTCAAGACTAAGTAAAATCGCTGTGCTTAGCAAAACAAATTATTGTTTGGTTAATGTCTAGTGCAGTCAGTGGAGGGGGGTGGTTGAGGTGAATGAGGATAGGGGGGAGCAACATCAGGGTTGGAGGGGCTTGGAAAGATATTGCATAGGGCTCTGCACAGCTCAGCATCCGCATGGCCTGGGGATCGAGGCTGTCCTTGAGGCAGTTGGTGGAAGCCGCAAGCTGATGTAGCTGCGCTTCCTCTTGGATTGTTTCGTGATGAATAGGCCATGGCCCGGGTGGCAGGAATCGGCGATGATCTTTTGGGCCTTCGCGATGCACCTCTTAGTGTATAGGTCTCTCAGGGTGGGCAGCACGCCGCCTGTGATCCGCTGGATAGACCACATCACCCTCTGAAGCCTCTGCAGGTCCCGTTCAGTGCAGTTACCGTACCGGGTGGTGATGCAGCCAATCAAGGTACTCTCAATGGTGCACCTGTAAAAGTTCCTGAAAACAGGTGCGGGCATGCCAAAGTTCATCAGCCTGCTGAGGTTATGAAGGCGCTGCTGGGACTTCTTCACCAGTGTATCCACCCTTAATTTTAGAACTTTCGTGACTGCAGTAAATGATTATTTGGTTATTTCGGTTAAGTCACGTCTAAAGATAAAATAATAAATTATTTAATTTAATTTGTTTTTTTCGGTTAAGTCACGTCTAAAGATAAAATAATAAATTATTTAATTTCATTTATTATTTTATCTTTAGACGTGACTTAACCGAAAGAACCAAATAATCAGTGTATCCACGTGCCAGAACCATTTCAGGTCCTCTGAGATGTGAACTCCAGGGAACCTGAAGCTGTTGACCCGCGCCACTGAGACCCCATTGATGGTTAGTGGCATGTGCTTACCCCTCTTGCTGAAGTCCAGAATCAGCTCCTTAGTTTTTGCCGACATTTATCTCAAGGTTTTTCTCCTTGACACCACCTCGAGAGTGTCCTCACTTCATCCACATAAGCCATGGTGTCGTTGTTGGTGATCAGACCCACCACTGTCGTGTGATCGGCGACCGTGATGATAGCGTTGGAGCTGTACCTGGTTGCACAGTCCGTAGTGTAGATGGAGTAGAGGAGGGGGCTAAGCACACATCTTTGGGAGGCACCTAAGTTGATGGTCAGGTAAGATGAGATGTCATTGCTCACCTTGACCACCTCCGGTCTTCCCGTTAGAAAGTCCAGCACCCAACTTCAGTGGGTAGCGTTCACACCCAAGGCCTCCAGTTTGGAGGTTAGGATGGAGGGCACTATGGTATTGAATGCTGAGCTGTAATCGATAAACAGCATTCTCACATAGTTACCCTCCTTCACCTCCATGTGGGAAAGTGCCTTATGCAATGTAATAGGAATAACGTCGCCCGTGGACCTGTTAGAGCAATACGCAAACTGCAGGGGATCCAGTGTATCTGGTAGGATGGAGCAGATGTGTTTCCTGATTGCCCACTCGAAGCACTTCATGATGATGGAGTAAGCACTACGCATCTGTAGTTTTTGAGGCACGTAATTCTGGCCTTTTATGGGACCCGAATAATAGCAGACGTCTTGAGGCATGTTGGAACGACAGCCTGGGCGAGGGAAAGCTTGAAGTGTCTGTTAACACAGGGGCCAGCTGCGGTGCGCGTGCCCTGAAGACACGCCCCGGTATCCCGTCTGGGCCGGTGTCAACCTGCCGGAGGATCTTTGTCACCTCGCCTCTGTTGAGCCAAAGGACGCCTGCAGGAGAGCTGTGGTCGGTGCGGTGGGGGTAGATGGAGATTGGGGGATGAAGGGGGAGGCGGGGGGACTGTGGAGCTGGAGGTGCAGGGATAGCTGTGTGTGCCTCGGACCGTCCGTAGAAGGTGTTGCACTGGTCGGGGAGGGAGGCGTTGCTGATTGTCTCGCAGCTGATTGTGATTTGTGGCTTGTGATTGACTGTCTTGGTCCCCCTGATTTCAGTGGGGTCTCTGGATTTGCATGCTTTGTGTCGGTCCTTCAGTGCTGCTTTGACTGCCGCTTTTTTAACCCAGGGGTTGTCATTTTGGTAAGAACGTCATCTTGGTTGGCACAGGAATGTCCATGCAGAACTTGATATGACCTAGCACTGTCGAAGCAAATTCCTCCACTCTGTTGTAGACCGCATCTCTAGACATATCCCAGTCTGTATCCTCCAGGCCAACCGTGAGTCTGGCCTCTACTTCTTCTGAGCAGCATTGGACTACTCTTGTAGTGGGAGGAGCCTGTTTCTTTAAGAGAGGGCTGTAATTTGACAGCGGCAAGATCACCTTGTGGTCGGACTTCCCGAGCGGTGGGCAGGGGAACGCCTCGTAGGCGTCTTTCAGCATTGCATAACAGTGACCCAAGATGGCGTCTCCACTGGAGGTGCATTTCACATGTTGGTAAAACTTTGGGAGTACACTCGCACGGTTCGCTCTGTTAAAGTCCCCAATCACAATCACAGCAGCGTCCGGAGGTTTGGTTTCTAGTGCAGAGATTGTTTTGTGTAATATGTCCATAGCCGGTGTGGTGTTGGACGTACACAGCGACAAAACAATCACATGAAATTATCTCGGGAGGTAATGAGGTCGGAATGATAGGATCACAAACTCTACATCTGGTGAACACAAAGATGCTTTGATTGAGACATTACTCACGTTACACCATTATGAGTTGATCATCACACACAATCCGCTACCTTTTGTTTTCCCACTGTCCAAAGTCCGATCGTGGTGAAAAGGAGAGAAGCCTGTTACCCCGATGGCTGCGTCCGGGATGTTTCCATAAAGCCAGCTTTCCGTGAAACACAGAACATTGCAGTCTCGTGTCTCCCGTTGGAATTCAATCCTGTCCCGCACATCATCCACCTTGTTAAACAGGGACTGTGCATTACACAAGAATATGCTCGGCATTGAAGTATGGTGAGATTATTTTCTATTCCTCATCTGAACGCTGGCTCTTCTTCCGCGTTTCGTCTTATGTTGTTGTCTGGTAAAAAAAAAGGGTCGTCTCTGGGCAGGCTGCCTTGGGAAAGCAAGCTCTTCTCTCAGATGTCCAATAATATTTGTCTATTATAGGTAATCATCGCAAGTTTGGTACACATTTTGGTAACGACGCTAATTAAAGCAAACAACAACAATACATTACATTAAACGCTAAAATCTAACTGTAGTGAGAGAGCAAGTCGGGAGGCATGCTGCTGCTTTGAGCACTAACCACCAAAACCACCAAACCCCGACTCCCAAGAGGACCCTCACCCAGACCATCTGACTCAGACACTCACAGCAAGACTCTCACCCAGACTCTCATCCAGAGTCTCACCCAACAACTCTCACGAGGACTCTTATTCAGACTCTCTCACCCAAACTCTGACCCAACAACCCTCACTCAGACCCTCACCCAGACACTCTCATCCAGACGTTCACATCGACTCTCACCCATAAACTCACCAGACTCTCACTCAGACACTCATACAGACTCTCACCCAGACACTCCCTCCCATACAC